AGTTTCTCATGCTGCAGAACTCAAGTTACTCACCACATGCAGAGCTCCCCACCCCCGGAGAACCAGGTCCACTGCTCAGATCCAGCAGGTTCCAGCATTGCTCTCAAAATAAAACAATTTAAATTTCATAAATGGAGAGTTCAAAGGACAAAAAATACAGCCTCACAGGGTGTGCAGAAGTCAAAAGTTAACGTAGCAAGATGCAGCCCAGCTAGTGTGAAAGTTGTTCAGAGTATGCAAACTGCAATTTATTGTTCATGCCCACAGGACACTGACACTGTAAAGGTAATTTTGCTAGCCTCGCAGCAACAGAAGAACTGATGAAACCATTTCAAGTCTGTAGTGCATATATATTTTTTCATGAGCACACTTACTGTGAGAAGGGCATAATTTTCAGATCACACTCTGCCAAAGCGTATGCCCAATTTGGGCTTTGTGCTAGCTCAAAAGAAGCCTTCACCGTTGGGAAAGACACTGCCTAAAGCAGCTCACAAAACTGCAGCTGGCCTCAGGAGGTACAGATGTTACAGCACCCAAAACAAGCTTATTTGAATGAGTTGGTGTAAGTTCAGGCAGCACAAGGAGTTAAGCAGGAGGGCAGTCAGTATTTGTCCTCTGTGTCCTCCTGAATGAGTGTTTACATTCTCTTAATTACTGGTACAAGCACAGCATCTAAAGAACGTATTTAATATTTCTGCTGAGCCTGTCCTCGCCTTTCCAGAACGGCACCGAGAGCAAAAAATACTGAAAACAGAAACCAAAGTGCAACTGCACTTATTGCCACTGATCAAGGCCGTTTTAACGAAAAACGGTGTCTCGACAAAATGACCCGAAGGGCAGTGTAGTTGTTCTTAAAAAGGGGCTGAAGCAGCTGCATATTGAACAGTTTATTTTAGGTCTTTTCCAGGCCTGGACAGATGACCTGGTCTCCCTGGAAGAGGGCTAGCAGACTTCCCTGCCATTTAACAACTAGTTTTGCTTGCTTGTTTTTGTTGTCAAAAGAGGATTTCTCTTTTTTAAATAGCTTTTTAAAAGTGTATATAGCAGCAGTGTGGTACAAAGATGGGCATTTTTTTTTTCACAGTACACACAGGTTAGTATTGCCACTGAAAATATGCCTTAAACAAATGCCTTTAAAAAACAGCATTCAGTCTGTATTACTGATTAACCTGGAGTGTTCATAGACTTTTGCAAATCCAAAATGCAGAATTTAAATAATAAAACTGGAAAAAGTGTTAAGTATCATTCCAGAATTGGAATTACAGTAGATCCCACATTCTCCCAATGCTGACGCTTCGCTGGGCAGGTGCATGCTGCTGTATATACAGAAAAAAAAACCAAAAGCAAACACATTTTGTATTAAATAGACTTAAATAGCAGGACTGCAGACTGGAGAGCCATGCTTGCATAATACTGAGTCTGTGCTGGCAGAGTCCGTATCCTTCGCCAAACACGGGGATGGGGGAGTCCTTCCGAGCCCCTCCACGGCATAGCTGGGGTTTCTAGCAGGATCCGTCCCAAAGCCGGCGCCTGCAGAGGGACAGCAGCCAGCACGCTGGGGTGGGGGGGGTTCACAGCTTCTTCATTTTGTCTTTGTTTTTCTGGAGTTTAGTGTGCACCACTTTGAGAGTAGTGAGGAAGTTCCCAAGAAAGAGCAGCAGAAACGTGAACGCCAACACAAAAACCTGAGAGGGGAGAAGAAGGAGAAAAAAAGGTGAGAGCTGAGGGTACTGCTTTGGCCACATTTAAGCGAGCTCTGAGGGGGCCCGGCTGGCAAGTCCAGGGATCCATTGGCACACAAGAGAAGACTCTAGCCAAATATACACCCATGCATCCAGATGTGTGGGTTAACAAGAAGCATATTTTTATCATGATCATTTAAGTAGCATTTACTGCTTTTTAATATTACAACATGGATTATATTCAACATTGCTGGACTCTACCAGACAGTAAAATCAAATCATTAAGTCCGATCTAATGGATTAACATTATGCTACAAGCACTTTCATCCAACACCAGTGGCACAGGTGTGGGGGAATGACACGTTTCTGCGGGAAGCTGTGTTCCTCCTGTTAAGCCAGTGAACAAAGTGAGCTACAGCAAGATCTGACCAAAATAAAGACCATCAGATTATCTGCACCACTGTGCGTGTGATGTCGTCCAATCTGGACGTACAGGAGCAATTGCATAGCTGGAAAATGGATAGACATGTTTGATGGGTGATGGCAACTGAGAAAACAAGCGGAAGGATCCCTAAAAGTGGGGCAATACAGCAGATACGTTTTTAAAGTGATTCACTGCCATCGTTTTTTTTGTCATCATATTTTTGTACATGTAACCCATGGATCAGCCATAAAAAACCACCAGCAACTCAGCAGCCATTGCTATTACATGCCCGTATACACGAACAATACAGAGAGAGATTTACCCACGTGTATTCTCTTCCCCCTACACCCTCTGCCTTTTGGGTTGTGTGGTCACCCGTGGGTGCAGGTTCCCGTACAGTAACTCACGTTTATTTCGAGTTCTCTTGTACAGCCTCTGTGCCACATCATCCTGAGATATTTAGATGGGGGTCAGATGCCCAAATATCTTCAAGGATGTGGTTAAACACCGCCTCTCCCCCTGCTCCGTGCTTTTTCTGAGCAGAACCAACACCCACCTGCCATTCCTTGCATTCCTTATGCCTCGACAATCCAAAAAGCGTGATTGCGTTATATAGCTGCCAGAACTAAAAAGACAAACAAAAAAGCAATTTCATTACGAGGGAAAAAAAAAACCAAACAAACACCAACCTTAGAAACATTTGCTATGGGTACATGGGATCCAAAGCACCTTTTTACAGTGCTGCAAGCGCAGCAGCAGACCCTCCCGAGGCCCCGCGCCACAGAGGGAAGAACGGGATTGCCCGACTTACATGCCCAAAGAACAAGAAGGGAAGGAGAAACGTCAGCCCCCGCCACATCCAGGACTGAAATCCTTCTGGAAAAGGTTAACAGAAGAGGCAGAGAGTGAGCACAGAAGAGCCAGGACCGGAGACGCAGCCCTCCCCACCCAGATCACCCCATAAGGGCTATTCCCATCCTGCTTTGCAATAACCAACACATTTAAAATATATACTTGAAGGTGTGGTAATGGGAGGAGGATGAAGACAGGGGTGACCGAGACCTCCATCTTAACCCACTCAAGATCAGAGCCCTCTGCTCCCAACCCGCAAGATGCAAGTAGGGGTCTAAAAGCCTCGCTCCCCTTCCCGCCACAGGACACGGGCAGCAGGGCAGGGGGACGGCCACTCTGCAAAGCTCGCTCTCAGAAGGCCACACAGCCCCCTCCCTATCACTGCATCTAAAACCTGTGCAAAAACTTTGCAAACCAAGTATTGCAGAAAACCTCACCTACTGTAAGGTCCAAGTGGTTTCTCTCCCCCAAAGCACGGAGTCTATAAAGGCAGCCCCTTTGATAATAATACTGTAGGAACTGAACACAACCTGGAGAAGGAGAGAGAAAACATTATTGCATTGGCTCTTCAGAAGTACGATAAACGTAACAAACTATTTTAATAATGTTTAATCCAACAGCATTTAATTATTTTCTATATTTGTACATTGTATATTGGCATGGTATGGTTTATATTTGTACAGTTTAATACTCCAGTATTTACCAAGCAGAAGTGTTTTCTTCTAAGCACGTAAGATACAAAACTATTTTAATCCCGTGAATTAGCAAGGTAAGATATACTCACTCTGAAATATTGAAAATGCTAAAAATTGACTGCGAAACATTTGATACATGAGTCCATCTGGCCTGAAAGCAAAATACAAAGGAGGTCTATTTGTTTGATAAAAAGCATACGATGCAGTGCCCTTCCCCTTCTCCGCCAAGCCAGATCCCATTAGCAAACAAAGCAAGCAGCTGGTATCCAGCCCATGCGGAGCCCAGAGAGGGTGCTACAGCCACACATCCCAACTCTGGCACGTAGGAAATGCTCTAATTGATTAGGTTTCCCCTCTCAAATGTGTATGAATGCTGCCCCCTCTTATCCATTTGCTTATCACTGTTTTCTCTAGACAGCAATCAAAGCCATTCAGCAGCATCTGCATCAAGAATCCAAGCGGTGGAGCAGGGAATGGTTGTGCTCCTTATCCTAAGGGTAGTTCAGGATAGACAGAGGACAGGGGACCTTCTGCCCCAGCCGCTGTGTCATCCCGTTACAGATTTAGGAGCAGAGACATTTGTTGTTTTAAACCAATTTTTAATTATTAACTTATCAGTTCATGTCAAAGTTGAGACAGGTTGTACAGGGGCCATACGCGGGGTGCGTTGCTGCACTGTTTGACCAACACCACCACCCGCTGGAAGGTAACTTGCATTTTTGGCTTTATACTCTGCTTGTAATCTGGGTTCTGTAAAGGCACCACACAGATTCATTTTGTGGTGTCCTCCCTCTAAAGCAAAGTGCTGCTTGTTTGCTTAGTTACACAGAGACAGAAATCGGGAGACTTCCAGATATTCTGCTACCATCAGCACAACTATGGCTTAGGGTTTGGGTTTTTTTCTTCTTTTTTTAATCAGCAACGTAAATATGAACTTGCAGTGTTGTATTTATCATTGAAAACATCTGTAACATCAGACAAATATTAAGTCTGACGCTTTGCCATGTGCCTGTGTGGCCACAGCTTCACGGTCACACTGGATTTAAACGCTTAGATGATGCAAACACTTTGCAACAGGCTTGAAGCACCTCCAGCAGGCAAGAGCGGACTCACCACGTTAACATTACTCCAGACAGGAATGTGGAGACGTAGTGATGAGACACCCACCAGCCTTTGATCCTGAACAGAAAAAACATGGCAGTTAGATGAGAAACATGGATTTTAGCATTATAAGTCTGGCTTTAAAGGAAAAAACAAATGATCCTGACTTGGGGGAGGAGGGGGGGCAGGGAAGAAAATAGATGGCCCAACTCAAGCAAAAGGGGTGCTGTGGAGCACTGTCCTGACCGTAAGGCTTAGTTGGGGGCACAAATCCACGACTGCTGGAGGGAGGCTGAAGACCAGAGCACATCTCGCGCGCTCCCACGAGCTCTCCAGCACAGCCAGAAGCAGCAGTGCCCACAGCACAAGATACCGCAGTGACTAATGATGCACAAGTTTCAGCCCACACATCCTTTTTTCTTCCCCCCGTGCCATGCAAATAAGTGACATTTCCAAGTCCTTCCATTGAGGTGGCTGTTTCTTTCAGACACAAATGCTGCAGAAAGCTCAGAAAATTACAGTAAAGTGAGCAAAGGCTATAGCGAGGTAGAATCAAGAAGTGAAGAGCTGCCCCAGGGATGGCACTGCTTTGGAAACTAAGCCAACACGATGGGTTAATTTGGGGCATTTCCAACCAAAGCCGTGCAACCTCTAACAAGACAGCACTGAGCCACTGTGACCCACCTCTGTAGATGCAGCGAGCCCAGGCTCAGAGGTTTCTCTGCTGGCCTCGGGCAAATGACTTCACTTGCCATGCTTGTTTTTTTCCTCTTCATCTCTGGCCCCACAGCAACCCCTCCCCTCTCTGGAAAGCACCCCAAAACAAGACATCCCACCTGCAGCAGGCCTAGGTACAGCCATGCTTGCAGAAGAGACTGCTTCATCCCTGCTGCCCAGTCAGTGCCCTCAAGCAGCTCCCAGAAATCAGCACATTTTTAAGATTTTGCCCCCAGGCAAAGCAGGAGGGCCCTGATTTTCCCACCGCACCTGCCACACCCGCGTCTGCCCCCAGGCGCAAACCTCTTCTTGCCTCGGGAGTGGGGACCACAAGCATCCGAGCAATGCCAAGACAAGACTCCCAGAAATGCTCCCGCCCATCTCCATTTTGAGGAGATCGTGGAAGCAACCGGCTTCAGAGAGGGAAGAGACTGGCCGAAACAAGGAGCCATGAGCTGCTCTCAGCTGAGCGTTATGCATTGCCCCTTAATCAGGACAACACTGACTCCTGCCACTAATGCAAGTGCTGGTCCACCCCTGTATAAGCACCACTACAAGGGAGCTTACAAGTTCTCTGTGCAGTGTTCAGAGCAGGAATAAGTGCCTGAAGCTGGGCTAATGCGATGCTGGCTGCACGAAAGGTGGCAAACAAGACACATTAGAAGCCCAATTAATTAATGCAACAGGGAGCTGCAAATATTGCGGCAGCACCAGCAGCAAACCGACATGCCTGGGAAGAGACATAGCAATTGCTGCAGTTTCCCTGTGCCAGCCTATCTGGATGATGAAAACCAGGGACATGCAACCATCAGGTTATTGCTAAAATCTAACACCAGACTCCAGGTTAAGTTACACAAGTGTAAACTCGAGCAAATTCTTGACCCAGACCTAATGGAGATGCTCCAGGAGCGATACACCAGCAGGACCTCACCACCCTGCCTTAGGATACTAAAGGTGCCATAAAGAAATGAGGGCTTGGAGTAAGGATCATCCTTCAGTTAACTTCTCCCAGGGTTTTACTTGTGTTCCCAGCTCTTTATACAATTATCTCTTAACTGCCAACTTTCCCTTGACACGACTAAAATTTAGTCAGACCCTCCAGGAGACGCGGCAGTGACCCGCAGGGCGTAGAGCCAGTACCTTGGGTTGGTCCTTTCACCCAAAACACACACACACTTACACTGCAGACCACATCTACGACTAACCTGCAGCTACCAAGAACATCCAACGCTTTGGACAAAGAGCTTATGGACTTTTACAAACTGCACCTTCTCCTCCCTCCCCAAACCTCAGGTGGCCACATCTGCCCTTGGAAGTGACCAGGGAGGGGGACAGAGACAACAGACCCTGCAGAGATGCATCAGCATCTCGGATTTCCTGGGCTTCAGTGTGAAGCTGAATCCCCTTTTGTTGCTTGTTTTCCTTTTAAGGACAATTCATGCTTTAAATAGTTTTTGCAGGTGGCACGATACCTTGATCCATTGCTAATGAGAATGCTTTCCCGTATCGTCAGTGTGCAGTAATACCATACTAACAGAAAGTTAAACACTTCATCTGTCACCCTGTTAAATAGAAAACACACACAGTAAAAATAAAAAAATCCTGTTCATTATAAAGACACATTCAAAAAAATCCCTATTTTTCCTCCCTCCCCTTGGGCAAATGAAAACCTGTCCAAGTGAGCCATGGACACAAAGCCCCAGTCCTGAACATCTCTAATCCACATGCAGAGCTGCGAGCATCGGCAGCACCACTGGGCTCAGAGTCCTTTCCTCCGGGAAGTGCCCCATGATATAACACTGCAGATCTTGAGCCGATAAGCAGGTACGCAGAGATGACATTAATTCCTTCTGAAGGAGAGAAAGCGCCATGGAAGCAACGGATGATCCAATTTAGAGAAGCATTTCCAGGCTAATTCAATGAGGAGATTCCATGAGATCTATATAAATCCAATCAACTAAAAGAGCAGAAGAGCATTACACTCTGGGCCTTTATTTTGCCATTTGCAAACCCCTGAAGCCAAGGGGATTTGGGGCAGCCTCTGTATATGGCAGCATCGTTCTTTGATACGGTCCTGCATTCACCCCAGACCCAGAGAGACCTCAGTGGAAGTGCCCAGCTCCAACACCTTCCTGTTTTTTAAGCAAAACTGAATAGTGGAAGCTTGTTGGTGCTCAGATACTTTATCATGACCTAGAGATAATGTTTCAGGTCTGATCATTTCATGCAAATACTCTCTTGTGTTTGCAGCTCCAGAGCTGCAACACGGTGCTGGTCCCTGCCTGGGACAACCCGTGAGCAAAACCAACTGCTCGTTCCCAAGCCCATCACAATGCCAGAAAAACAACAGATCAGGAAACACAATGTTGGACTTCTCTCAGTTACAAGAGACTCAAAAAAAAAAAAAAAAGTTAAACAAGGAAAAGCAAATAGCTAAAATACAGGTCCTGCCAGTGATGAAGAAGAGGTGCAGAAGCTGTCCTGCTGTCCAACTGCTCAAAGCCTAAACACTGCCAAAGCCCGTCTCACTGTCCTTAACAGAACATAAGTTAGTTCAAACCCAGCACGTTTTTATTCAAAATTCTTGATTAAAAGTAAAAACACAGCTTACCTGTAGTGGAGAATAAACCTGCAGGTGACAGCCCCGAGTAACAAGATTATCGTCAGATAAAGTTTGAACTTCTCATACTCGTCCTTGTAGGCAAACCTGGAAGGGAACAGCTGCTCTTTATGGACACAAATGGGTATTTCACCAGAACATGGCTTCGCTTTTTTCAAACCAGATACAAATCTACATGCCAAGCCCAGAGACAGAGGTTTTGCTTGAAACATTTATAAAACCAGCGGACGGCAGTGAAAGGCAGCATTCTGCCTGCAGGGTCTGTCTAGGCTGCGCGGCCATTACACTGCAAGACAACAGCTTAAGTCCACAAGAGCTGGTTTCTGGGTTGGCATGAAAAGACTTTAAAAAAAAAAAAAATCTCCATTTTCTGGAGCACTGTATGCCTAGAAGTCGCAACGCCATATTTCATTGGGAAAAAAAAAAAAAAACAACTTACAATTAAGGCAAAAGGCTGGGCTGGGCTTAAAAGCAAGCGAAGGACAGAATCCATCGGAGCTACACAAAGCATTAGCTTGGCCCCATGTTATGGTCTGATTTGCCCACCCTCAACATTTCATCTTTTATCAGATCTAAGAGAAACCCATTCCCATCTCTGGACTTCAGTCCATATCCACAGCTGGCCCCAGAGAAACCCAAATTCACACATGTGGAAACACTCACTCACTTTGCTTGGTTACTCAGGAGAGTTACATTCACATTTCCCAGCACCAGGTTTAAGTACAAGCTGGAAGACAAAATTCAAGAGCAGACCCAAGTAAGTCATTTTGTTTGAACACTGCAGGATGACCCAGATCAGAGCTGAAGAGACCGGTGTATCTGCCAAAGCCACGTTTGCTGTAGGTTTTTAATTAAGGCAAACTGGAGAGAGAGACTACTAAAGAGGATTTAAACATGGAAAGATTGGTCAGCCTTTCCAAGAATTTAGAGAAAAGGTTTATTTTCCTGGTCCCTTTTCTGCACCACAGCGTAAGGGCAAGATATGTAGTGTACACTGTCCAAAACCAAAAATAATGAGGAGAAATTGAAGTTTCTGATCAAAACTTCCAAGGGGCTGCAGCATCGCATGGCCCTTGACAACTGAAAGAAATCTGTCCTAGCAACCTCCCTCGAAGCAAAGTATAAATTGTAAGTCGCTTGAAAACACTATTTAAAAGAAAAAAAGACAGAAAATTCTTGTGCTGATTTAGTCTGAAAAAAATTAGCACAGGAAAACATCAGTGTGAAACAGTGACTTGCACGATCTCTTGCCAATACAGGGTTACTTTTATTTTAACAAGAAAACCTGCACTGCCTACACGCAGTACATTTATATACACTTCCAGCTAATGAATTCTGTGTACAACTAACACAGCAGCTCAGCAAGAGATTTATGACTAATCCAGTTTTACGTGTATTTCTTCAACATGCACATTATCCTTCGGGAACATCACTGCTGTGAACACTTAAAAAAAATCAGCTTTCCCGGAGCGCTTGCCTCCCTGGTGAAGCACGTACCCATTCTTCTTCGGCAAGTAGGCTTCCATGTCGAAGAAGGCATTTTGCCTCTCCTTGATCTGGGTGCTGATCTCCTGAATGAGAGCAAATTCTTCAGGACTTGCTCGGGGCTTGCACCTGAAAGAACACAGAAACAAGATATTCCTGATCACGTGTTTACCTCCTTTTTATTTAACGCAAAATAATGTTATCATAAAATCCATGCTGTTAAAAAGCTAACTGCGTGAGCTGATGCCATTGCACACTTTGCTCCTGTATTTCTGCAGCACCATTTGGCTTACCATGATGTTATTTTACCGCCTGGTTTATGCTGTTGTAGGTTATTTCAACCAGCTGGTTTACAAATCAGCTTCTCTCTTTATCTCAGCTCAGTGACAGGATCCCATACTTCTTCCCTAGCAGAGCACTTAGGGAATATTGTGCTTTTTTGCAGGAACTCCTTCCACTTTGGGAACTTTGTGCGCTGTTTCAGGCACTGCCCTTGCAGAGGCTGCAGCTCTTCAGGCACGAAATATTTCAGGATGTAACAAAACTCACAGCTGATGATTTACTGACAAACTGCAGTTTTACCAATTAATGTAAAACAGAGAGCGGAGCCTAATGGCGTTGGCAACCCGTGGTGTTGGAGGTGGTGCTTTCAGAGCTGCACGTAAGGAATTTAGCCTGTGGCTCCCGAGATCAGCCGAGCAGCCAAAGACAGTTCCCTCCCGAAAATCCACCCAGGAGCGAGTTATACCTTCAGGTTCAAGGATTGATGCTGCTCTTCTAGCACGGCTTACGGAGCAAAGCTTTGCTCACCTATCAAAACACGCGGACCAAAAGCTGTACGGTCCCGCAGCGTATGGCACATACTGCAAGGATGCAAACCCACACAGGCTCCCTCAAAGATCATCTTTATTTACAGGACTCCATCTCTCATGGGGCTGCGAACATTTTACCTGGCTGTGATAGATGGAGGTGACTCAAGAATAATATGGAGCAAAATTAGCGCCACGACACAGATTAAAATGCTAAAAATCCAAACATTTCAGCCCTTTGGGAAGGAGAAACATCCCATCCCTGCCTCCTCCATCCTCCCGTTACCGTTGCAGGCTGTGCTTCAGATCCCTTAGTGTCTTCTTCTGCCGGTGTATGGAGCTGCTGCAGGCTGTCTGCAAGCTGGTGACTTCTTCCAGTTTCTGCCTGTAAACTTTATGCGTTTCCTGCAGGAGAAGAGGAGATGATTGGTAGGAAGAGCCCTTCTAGGTTACGCATTGCATTTTGTCCTCACTTCTGAAGGAAGCAAAACCCTGGTTTTTTAGGAGTCAACAGGCACCCCGGCAAACAAGCAAGGGGGTGATGCCAAACCAGCACAGATCCAACACGGCTTGAACGGATACTAATGAAATTCCTGCAAAAGGAAGGGCATCCTCTCTACGCTCATCTCATTTCCTCTTCCTAAGGAGCTTTCCCACTCAGGAGCTCCTCATTCCCGTCCCATCCTGTAAGGAAGCCCCTAATCCTCCATTTGATCCCAATCTGTCCCCATCAAATGGGTAGTTAGTTAAATCACAGAGCAGAAACTCTGATTTCACAGCCAGACTAGATCTGGGGAAAAAAGAACAAAGATGAGGAACCGGGGGGGGCGGCGGGGGGGGGGAAGGCACAAAGCCAGCCACAGATCCACGCCTGGAGGTTTAGATGCCTCCTGGCCACCACTGCCATCTCGACCCCATGTATGTTCAAGCAACCTACTGCCCCCTACCCTGGTTTAAGAGCTCAACCTGTCCCCTCCCTGTGGCATTAGATGCTCCTGGAGAGGAACTTCTTTATCACAGCCCACTGATCTTCTGAAGCCCTGAATTAGTGTTTGGCAGTAACAAGGACGTGCTAACCAACTGCGAGCCCACTGAGAGGTGCCTCTGCTCTCATACCCTTCCCTCTGCTCGGGAATAAACGTGCTCTGCTTTTCTGCCCCTCGCAATGATTTCACCACCTTCCCAAGTGCAGGGAGACCTCAGGAAGGGCTAACCAGACACCAAGCAATGCCCTCTGGGCAAATTTTAAGATCTATAATAACTTGGAAAACAGTTTGCGCCAAGAGAAGGTGCGGGTTAAATGGCTATTTGCACGGCTGCTTTATCTACCCGCACATCAACAACCACAGAAAATTACCACCGGTTTTCCCAGAGCATAAACATAGTGGTGAAACCACAGAAACCAAATCTTTGCTCCCCTCCTTGTTAGGACCTGGCTGTTAGCTATTCGTTATTTACAGAAGCAATGCAAAACAAGCTCCGGTGTCTGATTTAACAGCCTTAATAACCAAACTAACTACATCCAGGCACCGCAGCTCTCATCATTTCAGCATTGGTTTGGCTTTGCTTAGCACGGGCAGGACTTCGGGGCTCGCTGGATTGCACAGTAACTCCTACTGCTTCTCTAGATGTCACGCAACAGTGTCTTTTCAAAGGCTGGTTCAAAGGGTGCAAGAAGCTCTTTGCCAAAAAAGTGTTAAAGTATTTATTGGAAACACAAACAGGCGAGTTGAGAGCTGATAAATTCTACCGCTTTCCAAAAACATCAGGATAATGATTTCAAAATGACACTGGTATTTAGAAGAACATAACATTTGCTAGTAGTGAAGTTACTTATTCATCAAGAAAGGCAATTGCTTACAAAGAGGACCCACCGGCAGCCCAGGGAGCTCAGCGCTGCCTTTACGTTACCACATAAAACCCACAGGCCAAATACCTGCCCGGAGGGTCAGGTTTGGCCACAGCTCTCTCTCCATGTAGGAAACAACACGTGCCGAAAAACAAAGGACCTGTGCACCAGGGAGAGGAGTACTTTTGCCCTGAGCTGAAGAGCTCCCAGCGGAGATGTCAGAGTTGTCTCTGCACCCAAGTTTACAAGATTTACAGTGCCGGGGCCGTGACTGCCCAGTTTGCACGTGGAAATCGCACTGCCCAATTTGCCCGCAGACGAAGGGCAGGCAGCAGTTCCATACGGCGGCCCCACGCTGCAACTGCTTGATGTTTTCTGTAGGCACCCCGAAGTCTATTTTCTGTTGCACTTGCAACAGCCCTGCTTGTGGTCAGCACTTGTTCATCTGCAGGACTTAAACCATATTCATGGGGAGCACTTGCAGGGCTTTTTCCTAATCAAAATCTGGTTTACATGTTCATATGCAGGGTTTAAATTAATAAGCTGTCGCAGGGAAACTTGCATTTTCCCACATCCCTACCCCAAAATTGCAATGCCCTGCAGCCCTGAGCTCTTTCTCAGGCTGCTGCTCCAGAGACCAGGCGCTGCCCTAACAAAACCAACAAAAAATTGTTTTTTTGTTACCCAAACAAAAATTTGCAGATGTGGCTGGTTAGAAGTGCTGTGCAAACCTGGATGTCCCCCAGCTCGATCTCACGGATTGTCCCCGATGCCCTGAGGGGATGCTCGGTGCTGCTGTGCAGCAGCATCAGCCCCTTTGAAGCCCCTCAAGTCGGAGCCCCCCAAATACACGCGTAGCCCCAAGTGCCCCGTGCCAGCCACCCAGCACGTCAGGGGCAGGAGCTACAACCAGAGTCCAAGGTCCTCCTCTGCAGAAGGAGGACGCAGCCCCTGACCCAGAACTTCGAACGCAATTACAAAACGTGAGACGGGGCAGCAGTGCAATGAAACAGAGATTGTTTTGCCCCATGGAGCCAGCACTGCTCTCGACACACAAAAGATCTGCCCACCATCAATTTTTTTCCCTGCTGGCATTGCACAAGAGACCCTTTTAGTGGCAGTCACCAAAGTACCTTGGAAAATGCCAACAGGGAGCTCCTTCCAAACACGAGCAGCTCCCACACAGCCCCAGACCAGCATTCCCAGCTGGAGACAAGAGTCAGGCCAGGCAAAAGGGGTACTGAAGGGGGGTGATACAGGCATGGAGGAGGGTCAAGCTGCTGCTGCAAAAACCAAGCTCCTCAAGAGCAAGAGATGCTGTGAGTGTGTCCAAAAAGCCACATGCAAGGCAAGCATGAGCAGACACCCACATCGAAGTACTTTCTTACTGAAGAGTTGGGTTTTCTACCCCAACACATCATGGTTTGACTCAAATCCAGCTGGAGAGCACAGAGCCTTCCTCCAAAGCACACTGAAGCTCAACCAGCATCTCGCGGAGCTGGAGCAGAGTCATGTCCTCAGGACAGTGCCGTGTTCCGCTCTTCTGCAACGCCGCCTTCAGATGTAAACTCTGCTTGTGGGCCCCAAAGCTCTCAGATAACGGATGTTATTCCAACTTTTCACCTCTACAGTACTAACCACTGGGAAACAATACCTCATGCCACCAGCAGCTGCCAGCCCATCTAGAAGCATTTCTACTTTCCTTTTACGCCTGGGGAAACCGAGGCAGGGATAAGTCATTGACATTTTGGCTGTGGTTTAGGTCAGACGTAAGCAGCACGCTCGGCCAGAAGTCTGGTCGGCGCACACAGCAAACAAGTGATCAACAAAACCATGCCAGCTGGTGCTCCCCCCCCAACCGCCACCTTTCCTTCTGTTAACAAGCGTACAACCTGAACTGACTTTTAATTAAGACAACGAGCTAAATCTGGAAATAGCACTTTTTTTTTGCAGCGCACGTTCTGTTTAACAGCCTAAAAGAGGCTAACAGCCACGCAGGAGAGAACAGCCAGTCATGTTTTAAAACTGGCTCAAAGATTTAAAGCACGTGGATAGGCGCAGCATTGATGACATACAGGGAAGGGAAGGTTTCTGGAGGCAACAGCACTTTGCAGAAACAGCTCTCAGCCCCTGCTCTGAGGTCTTTCCGTCCCTCAATGCACTTTTGCGAGATGGAAGAGCAGCACTTGAACCCCTCGTACCCCACCACAGGAAATTAAACTCCGGCCAGGTGCTGCTCGCAGCACAGGCGTTACTTGCATCGCTCCTTGTGCCGTGCTACGCGTGCACGAAAACGCCAGGTCCCCCTTCTCCAGGCCGGCTCTAGCAGTGGGAACCGCGGCACCGCAGCCCCTCGGGTGCCCCATCAGAGGTACCCGGTGCACGGCCGTGGTTTGGTCTGGGATGTCCCGTGCGCACGTAGCGCCTGCCTGGGGGTACGGGGGCGCAGCGGTATTTCTGGGGTGCTGTGCAAGCACGTGCACCCATGCACATGCTGTGCTTCGTGCATGCACCCCGGGCCTGTGGCGAAGGCGTCGTGCACGCGTGGCCCTGCCGGGCACAGCCAGGAGGGGCTGAGCCCCTCCGCACCCCTGCAAGCTCCTTGCTGAGGCCGCCCCACGGGGAAGCAGCCAGCGGTGGGGACCCCCGGGGGGTGCGCACCCCCTCCCAGCCCGGCGCCGCCCCCCGCGGCGCAAAGCGATGCAAAGCGAAGCCAGGGAAGGCAGCGCAATGCAGGGCAGGGCAGCGCGAGAGAAGCGGCGGACGCGAAGCCGGGCAGCGCGGCGCTGAAGGCGAAGCCGGGCGAGGCACGGCGCTGCCGCGGAGCGCTCCACCGCACCGGCGCGGAGCCCCGCCGCCCCCCGCCTCACCTGCAGCTGCCGGAACTCCTCCTCCAGCTACCGC